TTGTGCTGCATATTCACTGTGCCGGTTCCTCCTTTCACGGGTCTTTCTCCTGTGTGTATTGATCACTGCTTGTTTCTGGCCCAGCCCCAGCTACCCCGGGATACTTGGGCAGAGCATCCTTTCCCTGGCATCTGGGCTCTCTCCTGTACTTCTCCCTCTGCCAGGAAGGCGGCTCCACTCCTGAGCAAATGAAGGCGGATTCACCATGGAGGGCTGAGCCCTGGTTTCTCCTCTTCTATTAAGTTCTTCCCTCCTAACTGCCTTTCCTGAGACCAACAGATCCTTTGCCAGGACACTTATCCTCCATGATGCTGCTGTTTCTTTCCCTTGTTCTCTGTCCTTCCTGGAGATGGGGACTGTGCCTTATTCCTCCATCTCTTTCCAGTGTTAGACACATGAGTAAATAAATGAGATTTTCAAAGTCTGTTGAACATTTCAGAGGACCCACTGCAAGGGAGCCAGTGAGGTCTGCACTGAGATCAGTTAGCTGACAGGAGCATGCTGTCTTCCCTTGGCCACCTGTTCCTTTCTTCAGAGCCAGCAATACCTGACTTCAGTACGGCCTGCTGCAGCCACAGGAAACCAGTGCTCAGGACCCAGGCTCACTTTCTGTTTCCAATATTTTTCTCATCGGTTATGTTAAAGAGCTGTTTCCTCTCGGCTTGGAACCAGACCATAAACAAAGACCAAAGAAGCCTTGGGGGCTACTTTATGATTCCCATTTATCCTGCTCTCTCTCTCTCTCTCTCTCTCTCTCTCTCTCTCTCTCTCTATCGTTTGAACAGAGCATATTTATTAGTTGTTGCGCCAATAAAATATAAATAGGACTTACTGAAGAACAGCTCCAAAGTATCAGGAATCTATCACGTCACAACAGCAATAACACAACAAATGATATGGAGGAAAGGCAAGAGAATGATATCTAATATCACTGAGCATGTGGCACGTTGACTCATAAGGTCGTGACCACGTAGTCTTCCCCGTGTAACCCTTACAACCATGAGAAGCAAATCATTGTTATTCTCACATTACAGATGAAGAACTGAGGTCTGGAGTGGTTACATAACTGGGTTAGGCCCCTGGGCAAATAAAGCAAAACCCACACCTGGAACCCTGACACCAGACCTGCATTCTTGCTACAACACGGACAAGCCAGAGTGCCAAAGACCACTAACTATTGTGGAGATCTTTGAAAATGTATAGGGTTATTTCCATTAGTACTATAATATCCAGATAAACATTATATCTCCCAGTTACAGATTAAGAAACTGAGGCCCATTGGCATTATGCAAACTGCTCCAAGTGGCCCACCTACTATGTGGCTGAGGAAGATTCAAAGCTCGATGCCTGTTCTGTGCATAACACTTAGCTCTTTGTGACTGTTTCTGAGTCTCATTGTAGGATAAGAAAGCCAGAAAGTCCTCAGTTGCTCTGCAAAGATAAAGTCACCTCACAGTGCCTAGAGGACTCGCTGAAGGGCACTGTCTGGGATGAAGCCTGTGCTGTCGTCAGAGTCAGGTCTCCTGATTGCTAGTCTGGAGGACACTTCCTCCCAGACCATATTGCCATTCCCATCAGACCATGTAATTTCTTTTTCTGATTGGGACACAGAGCCAGCAGCCAACAAAGATCACAATCTGTCTGCCTGCTCTCCCTCTGTTATGAGTCTAAAAAAAAATGGATATCAAAGAGGAACCAAGTTAAATCACCCTTGAATGTACCAAATTGGCTTGTGCTTGCCCGGTCAGTTCCAGGCTCCTCTTCTCCCCTAACTGACAAGCTGGGTGCCTGGCTCTAGGAGCTGGAATGCAAGCTCTCCATTCAGCACTGACTCCTTCCAGTCTCTAACTCCAGGGAACACTAATGCAATTCCTGCATCTCCTCAGTCGAATATTTAAATACCCTCAGCCATCACCTAGTATTGGCCTGAAGCATCTCTCACATGGATTGTCCTGACAACCTCCTATTGCATGTCCCTGCCTTCAGTCCAGCCAGCATGACTTCCCACTATTTACGAAACATCTGTTGTTTGTCATTACCTATTATTTAAGTTCAAAGTCCTTTCAGCCTGCGGATTTAGACTTCTCTCCTGTCTGAAGGCCTTTTCCCGAACCAGACCAGCTACGCTCCTGCTACACATGCATGCTTTTTCCCCTCGCCTCTCAAGGTGCAGGGTTCTCCCTTCAGTAACATGCTCCAGTCACATTGTACTAACTCCTGCCCAATATTAAAGCTTAGTTTAGAAAAGCCTTTCATGAGAAAGACTTCTCTGACTCTTGAGACCATTTTGGATTCTGCCTGATTCCTGTTTTTAGTTATTGATACCCTATATCTAGAACTTAACCTGGTGCTTAGCTGGAGCCCTTTGCACACAAACATGTGTAGGCACACTCGCGCACATGCACACACACACACACACACACACACACACACACACACACACACACGCACTTTCACATTTACACATACATATTCACACTCACATTCACATGTACACACTCATATATACTCACTCACACACATTTACATGCATTCATACTTATACACATTTATATATACTCATACACCCTCACGCTCATGTATACACACCATTATCATTATTGGCTGGAGTAGGGGCAGTATCGACTTTTGAAGGAGGCTTTTGCAGATTATCTTGGAATTTGGTTTCTAGCCCAGGCTAGCCTCAAACTCACGACCCTCCTGCTTTTCTCTCCCAAAGCACTGGGATTATAGGTGTGTGCTACCAATATAACTTTTAAATGTCCCTTAGCCTTCCAGAACTCCTCTATCTCTAAGTTTATGATGAATATTATAACTATCTCTTCTCTCTCCTGTCTCCCCATGCAGGAGAAAAGCCTGACAGTACTCTTTTTTTTTTTCAGTATTTTACCCCAGGTGCTGGGTATGATTCCTGGTTCACACTAATATGTATTTATTTTTGGTGAAGGAGAATTGGGTGTTAATGGATAGAAACTCTGAGCTGAGGAAGGGTGTTTTACTAAAAATAAAATTTCCATCAGAAAACCACAACAGAAATTCAGAGAAAGGTGGGAAAACCCATAAAATTGGACATCAGAAAACAATGACAAACCATTGGCAGCATCCTTCAGGGAGACTCACCAGTGTCTCACTGTGAAATGGGTCTATTATCCCCTTTTATCCATAATCTCAAATCTTCTAAGCAACTCCTATTAACATCCTTGCCACAGTACTGCAGGAGAGCAAAGCACATGTGGTGTGAAATTGACCTTCCCATGGACTGAGGAGTGGGAAGATAACACCATCTAATGTTTTGGTGGCAAGGACAGAGTGTCAAAGGGCAGTGTGGCATTTAAGAGATGGCCAGACTTTGGGAATCATGGTTCCTATGCCTCACAGGAGACTATGTCATTGGCCTTACTGACCCACGAGATGTTATATCACATTTTTAGATGATGGTCTCAGTCTTGGAGACTGCAGGGAGAACACTCCGTTCTTATCATGATCTCTCTAAGGCTCTATGGCATCTGAATTGTGATCTACCACCTGGCCTATTCCTTGCTAGCTCCTCCCTCTGAAGCTATCAACCTGGCCTCTTAAATTCCCATAAACTGGAGCCCACTAAAGCTTCAGAGGCTGGGTTCTACGTAATGTCATTAACATACCCCTTGCATAGCTTATGATAGGATGACTATTCACCAAGAGTTACAGAAGGCTAATGTGAGTACTTTAATTTGGGGAGGGGAGTGTTTTCACAGATAGTGAATGGTCCTTCCATTTTGATGAGTTCTGCATCTGAAGATTCAACTAGCCACAGTTAGAAAACAGTTTAAAAAACTGAGCCTGTACTGATCATGTACAGACAATTTTCTTGTCATTATTCCTTAAACAAGACAGTATAACAATGATTTACATAGCATTTATAGCACATTGGATATTATGTTATCTAGAGATGATTTAAAATAGGCATCAAGGCCAGGTATGGTGTTCCAGTATTTAATCTCAGCACTTGGGAGACAGAGGCAGGCAATTCTCTGTAAGTTCTAGGCCAGTTGTGTCTACATAGTGAGTTGAGGATAGCCAGAACTACATAGAGGCTTTGTCTCAAAAAACTAACACATGTATACCTTGAAGTACACAGGAAGATGTGTGTGGGATACATGCAAGTACTACAACACTATACATATGAGACTAAAATGTCAGAGGACTTCGGTGTCCATTGTGTCCAGAAACATCTCAACACATTGAGGGCCAACTGTATACAGAATTTATCCTATCCTTTAACTTTTTTAAGACTTCCCAACTATAATTCTTTCTCAGAGAAAACTACGAGTTTGGAAAAGAAAAATCAATCAATTTAAAACTCAAAAGATAAGTGTTAACAGGTTCTACCAGAATCTGTTATAGACCCAATAAGGTGAGTTTGAAATAAACTAAAATTCATGAATGCATTTCCTTTAAAAAAGAAATCAAGCAAGGTAAAATGTAACCCCATGTTTTCACCATAGTGAAGAGAAATTTTGGGGAAACTAGGAGGAAAAGCAACTTGTCAAAGGCAGAGGGTTAGGGTGGGTAGGGCAGAGAAGATTTCAGGGGAGTCAAAAGAAGAGAGCAAAGGGGGTGGGAAGAAGAAAAACAAGGGAGGGGAGAGGGGTAATAAGCGAGGAGGGAAAAGCATGGGATTGTCGAGGAATGTTAGGAGGAGGGGTAAAGAGGGAAAAAAGGGTGAGTAGGAAAAAAGAAAGTGGTGGCGGGGGGGGGGTGAAGAGAAAGACAAGACAGACAGAAACAGTGGGAAAGCCACGGGCCCAGGGACCTAAGGAAGACTCGGGGCCTGGAAGCAGCCATTGAGAAGATGTCTATGTTCCATATGAAGGGCACATGGAGGTCAGAGACACCTGCAATAATAGAACCTGCCACATTCATCCTCACTAACCTCCTGACATGCATAGTAATTCCTTCCAAGTTGGATGTTCCCAGCTAGATAGAGGCTTCTATAATGGGGGACCTGGAAAGGATACAGGCTTCTTCAGTGTAGGGCACAGCAGATGTCGTGCCCCCAATGATATAGCTGTAGAAGGAAACCTCTAGGGTATAGCAATAGGAAGTGTGATCCAGGAGCCCACCAAGGAAGCGACGGCCAGTTCCTGCTTTCACAGCATCCCGATTGAAGGATGTGCTAGTCTGTGAAAGAGAAAGTTGGGAAGAGAGAAAATCAGACCTAGATTCCCCACACCAGCTTTTAGATTTTGAGCAAATCTTAAAAAAACACCTTCTCTCTCTCAGTTTCATCATCTGAAAAGTGGGACATGCTTCACCATCTCAGTTATTATAAGGACTTATTAGTCAACAAATGTAATTGAATGAAAGCATCCAGCAGGGTTCTTGGGGGCACAGCTACCTGTAGGAGTATGAGTGGGGCTGGTGGAGGAATGAAAAGCAGACAGGAGGCAAGAAGAAACTGTCCTATGATCATAATCAGAATGAAATGTTCAACTGGACGATACTGTTCTCTAGGTAGTATCGTGTTTTAGTTTCATAGGAGCCCATTTAACTAGGTGTTCATATTTTATCTTTCTGTAGATGAGGAATCCAAGACTCACAGATGTACAAGTAAATAAAATAGTACAGATGTGAAGTCAGGATTAAGTGGCTCCAGGTATCCCTGTGTTCTCCATCTCACAAGAGAGAACTGAGCTCATGTCCAACACAAGCTAGTGAGGTTAGTCATGCTCCTTTTGTAAGATGTTGGCAGCACCTACCAGGGTAGACAAAGAGAGACAGGTAAGCAGGCCAGACTTAGGTCCTTCATTCAGAAACCTATCTTGCTTCCCCACTGTTTGACAGCTGTCTGCTTGCCCTTTTGGTGTGCCTCAGTTTCCTTTTCTGTGTAGTAGAGGGGAAGGAAACTATGAAAAATCACAGGCTCTCCAGTGCAAAGGCCCGGGAATCTATGTCATAAAACAAAATGCTCCCATTTTGAGGTTAATTCTTGAGAATCAGAACAGTGACAGGAATGGGACCAGGACAGATGGCATTGATGGCAGCCCAGAGATCCCAGATTCAGTGACCCCCACTCATGTGAGCACCTCTGAGACCTATGGCACACCTTCCAATGAACTGGAGGCTAAAGAGACTATATAGGTTCCTATAGAAACAAATGGCTTGTTTTGTCCCATAGCTGCAAATGGGCAGGTGCCTGTTTGGTTCTACCACCTAAATTCTAGATGAATTGACAGTAGATTCTCAACCTTTCTTGTCCATAGGTTTCTCCTGGATATAAAAAAAGGACTGTGCTAAACAACCTCCAATTCCCTTTTTGGTCTGCCATCCAAAGATTCTGTAATTCAAAGTGCATCTTCCCACACAGAGAAATTCACCATCCTCACTAATGTCCAGCCTGAAGCCATGAGCAGGTGAGTTTTCAGCTCATCAACTTCAAAAATTGCCATGACCTCTGTGGGCCTCTTCCCAACCTGCCACAGGGCAGTATCAAGGCCCAGAGATTTAGTATCAAAACAAAGGAAAAAAAGAGCAAAAACATCTCCATGTCTCAATAGTGCATGCTGGCGTTCCTCCTCATCTTTTCTCCCTGCTCTTCTCTGACATTGCTTTGTGCTACAAAATTTCTAACTGCCCCATCCTGGCCCATCCCATCCACCTTGCATGTCTCCGGAGGTTGTTGGGGTCTTTTCTGCCTGCAAGGGACGTTCATATCTATAGCTGCATATGTCTGCCCAGGAAGCTGTGGTGCCGGCATGATAAAAAGAAATATACCCACCAATTACTGTCAAAGAAATTGGGGCCAAGGAAGTCATGGAAGATGAGAATGGTGGGTAAATAATCCCTTGAGCAGACACATTGTTCTCCTGCTGGAAGAACCGGGGCAAATGAAAACAGACTACCGGCTGGGCATGAAACAGGGAGACCGCTCAATGAGTTTCTTTGCCTTTGTTAAGGCTGGAGTCAGACTCCATAAACAAATCCTAGGTGAGCAGACACACTAAATGAAAATGAGTCTGAAGAAGAGAGGAAGGTGTGACAGGAAGAGGTACAGAAGCACCTTGGCTGCCTGAGAACTTCTGACTCACATAGGAGAAGTCCTCTGCGTTCTGGCAAAGGAGCTTTGGGAAAATGGACTGCCTTTGGAAGCGTTCCTCATCCTCGAAGATGTTGCCGTACATGAAGCCATTCATCATGGTGGAGTGCGCGTGGATGTCAATATAGAACTCCAGGCTGATTTTCTGTTAAAAGAAAGGATAACAAATGAGAAGGCTGTGGCTGCAGAGCCACCTTAAAGGAAGCTACGCTGCACACACCCTTTTCAGCTGGCCCTTTGCATCAATACACTTGGCAGCTATTTGCAGTGTGATTGGAGGGCAACAGACAGGCGAGAATCGACGATTTCTATTCATTTTTAACTAATGTGTCCTCGGTGTCAAAAAGTGCTACTGGTAGCGTGCCTTTTAGCGGTCTCAAAGAAAGGAGGGTTTTGTTGTATTCTCAACTAAGTTGCTTACAGAGAACATGACTAGACATTCCAAGAAGTTATTACTTGATTAATAAGAAATACCTTCCTGGAAATTATTTTATTTACATCAGGTATTTGTGCAATTTTGTCTACACTTCCATTTCTAGCTGGGGAGCCTCGTATAAATTATACTCCCGCTGTGAGCTTCGGGATTTAAAACAAAACAAAACAAAACAAAACCCCCAACCTTTTCTTTTATTTTGAGGTTACAGTTACATCATTTCTCCCCCCCTTCTCCTCCTTCCAAGCCTTCCCCTATACTTCTCCTTGCTCTCTTTCAAATTCATGTTCTCTTTTTCATTATTATTACATGCACATATGTATCTGTATTAGTATATTCTTCCCTGGGGAAGGTTATTTCTCCCACTTTAAAAATTACTTAGTTGCCTATAGTTCTTTGCATAGGAATAAAACCTTGTGGGGTTTGCCCTGTCCACATTGGCATTTCTGTTGTTATCCTGTTCAGCTTATGTTTAGTCTGTCATGTTGGTGAGACTTTATGCATGTAGCTTCTGACATTACTAGGAGACACAGTATCACAGCAAACTTCCTGATCCTCTGGCTCTTAAAGTCTTTCCATTCCCTCTTCTGCAATGATCCCTGAGCATTAGGTGCTGGGGTGTTTTATGGATGTATCCATCAGGACTCTGTAACTCTGCGTTTTTATTGACTATAGTTTTCTATAATGGTCTCCATCTGCTATAAAGAGAAATTTCTTTAATGGGGGGGTAAGGACTATACTTTTCATTGAGTAGTGGGGCAAATATTTAGAATGCGTTTTGGATGCGGTGGCTATAGTGACTTCAATAGCTCTTGGTAGTTGGGTAGGGGTATTTTTAATCTGAAAAATATGTATTTTGATTCTAATCTCAGAGTTATATTGGAAAGCAAACATAGTAGTTGCCATATTTAAGGCATTCTAGGTGCCATTGTAGAAGCTTTACACATGAAGTCTTAATTAGCTCTTTCATTTAACCTTTTCTCATGATGTCCCATCTTTTCCCCAATAACAAAAAACAACAGTTTATGGCAAGGGAGGCTTTGTAGTCTGTAAGTGACATTGCTAAGACTTCCTTTGCTTGCATAGTTAAGACACTTCCTAGCTTGATGTGATGGTATATATTAAATTCTGTGAAGATAGGGAATTGTCTATAAAGGGCTTAGTGCCTCTAAGTGCAGGATGCTCAGAACTGTTGGCAGGAAATGACACCAGATACTACAACAGACTGGCAGAAACAAGAGGACTTTTAGGACTTCAGATTTTCAGGGTCTCTCAAGTACAATGATCCTCCTTTTTATATGTCAACTAAATGTATGAAACACACACACACACACACACACACCACCACCACCACCACCACCACCACCAATCCTCCTGAGATTAACAAATCCCTGAATGTGAAGAAGATTTTCCTGAGCTCATGGCATAATTGGGACTGATGCCCGGGACTCTAGACTCCTGACAAAATTTACTAGTCATCAGTAACCAACACTTGCCAAGCCTGGTCACCTAACCATCTTTGTCTGGGAAAAAAGAAAAGGCCACATATGAGAGGATTCCCTCTCTTTGGGACACTTTCTAATGAAGTTACATCCAAATAAAGTCCATGTTGTTTCTAGAATGTGAGCTTGATGACTGTCATTTCATTTGCCTCAGAGTTGGAATGAAGAATTATGTCTTGCTGAGCTCCTGATTCTCTGTGTAAAGTACACTGTCTTCTAAGAGCAATAAGATGCATTTCTCTGTGTGATATTAAACTCATCATGTTCAGATTTGAAGGAGGAATACACAATGGTCCAACAGGAGCCCCATAAAAGTCATCTATGCAATATTATTTTCTTTGATTGTCTTTTTTTAGTCTGAGCTTTTGATGAGCTGCAGAGGAAAGGAAGAGTTGCAGAGATGACTTGGGAAACAAATAAGGAAAAACTGCAATTTATAGCTCTGACTGCCAGAGACAGAAAGGCCCTAGAAATCAGGCCCTCTGACCTCTCTCCAATCAGCCCTGAATAGAGAGGTAGCTTGTGCAAGGCTGGCTGGCAAGTTGGTGATGGAACAAGAATTAGAGCCAAACCCTACTGATAACCACTTGGGTATGGCATCAGTTGTCCCTCAAATCTGGCATCCTCACACTGGGTGGCTAACATGACTTCACTTTAAATTACCAGCAGGTGAATTTGAATTGATTGACACATATGGTTCGGAAGTTAAGAGGCATGACATAATTTACAGTGGAAAATGCCCCTTCCACTCCATCTGGCAATCATACAGTTTTGCTGTCAGGTTCACATGTACTCTTCCAGAGACAGTTTGTATATAAACAAGGAAATAGTTCTCACTCCAAATGTTCAAGTCTTCTTCTTCTCCTTCTCCTTCTTCTGTCTTGGGAGTAACTTTTTCTCAACAAACAGTTGCTTCATTCTTTTTGACAGCTATTCACCTCCCTACCTCATGGACACTTATGAGGTTTCCAATCTTTTCCTGTTACCAGCAGTGTTTTCGTGGACTTTGCACATACAGCAGTTTATACAGATGCAATTGTACACTGGTTTCATAGAAATGAAATCACTAGGATCCTATTGTACATCCGCAATTCTGATAAGTACTGACAGGCTCCCTTAGAAGGGCCAGTACACTCCCAACTGTGTATCAGGACGTCATCACCTTGACAACATGGATGCAATTTTACTTTTTGAAATATTCCATTTTTGATAGGTAGAAAATGATATCTAAGGTTAGTTTTAATATGAATTTCTGTTAGTGGAATTATCTTTTGTTATGTAGTTAAACTTCTTTTCATATATGTAAGAACTATTTGCATTTTCTGTGAAATGACTGTTCATTTCCTTTGCCCATTTTAGAATTGAGCTATGGCTCTGTCTGTCTTTCTCTCTCTCTTGTTCTCTGTTTTTACTGATTTATAGAAGCTATATATTACATAAATTCATCTTTATATTTTATAAAATATTTTTGTCATTTTTTACTTTAACTTGTTTTTACTTTTCTTTTTACTTTATTTTACTTTTTACTTTGTACATTTAACTTTAAATGTTATTTTTTAATGTGACCACATTTATCAACCTTTTCTTCTGGCGTTCCAGACATGACTGCTCTCACTGGTTTCTTTTCTTTGTTTTTGTTTCCTGTTTCCTTGTTTACCTTTAAGTATTTTCATTTGAATATAGAGGGTTGGTATGACGGGGAGGGGGTGGGGAGAGGGATAACTAACACCAAGGATATTTGAGAAAACCATATAGAAACACATTATTCTTTTGGCATCTTTCATATATTTATATGAATGTGCACATGTTTGTCTATACATGTGTATATGCATATATATATATATATATATATATATATATATATATATATATATATATCACTATCACTATATTTTC